TTGGGAGGGGAGCAAAGGAAAACCTCAGAGCATGAGATGGGCCCTAGAAAGATGGAAAAACACAGGCCAAGGAGACTAAGAAAAGACAAACCCCGAGCCGTGTGCTGGAAAGTCTGAGGAACAGCACAGCCCTGCAGTGGGCACCCCTGTGTTTGAAAGGCTGTCATGTGGTGGGATCATGGAGGAAGCAGAGGGACTCTTGTGACTTATTTGTCATGGAAAGAAATGAGGTGGGGAGGAAGGAGCAGGCCCCCAGGACAGAGGGAAGGGAAACAATTTAGATACATGTTATTAATTACTGTCTCCAAGGGGCTTGGTGTGGCAAGACGGATGATGGCGTAGAGGGTATTAACTTATATCCTTTCCAACATAGCTCACTGTCTCTTCCCATGCGGCATGAGTCATAATCTCTGGAACCTTCTTGTTTCCAACAAGGAGGCTGCAGCACTGATAAAGGCTATTGGGAAGATTGAGTGTTACATCACTGCCATTTTCACAACTATTCTTCACCCTCCTGTCAACCCTGGCCTGAAGGACCCCAGGGTGGAAATAGCCACTGCAACCTCATACTTGACATACAGGGGGTTGACTCTAGAATGATTTTTCAAAACTTAAGTTATATTCTCAAATGAGTAATTTCTGGCCCCCATGCCCACCACCCTCCTCTACATCGTTCATCCTTTATCCACAACAGATGTGGCCAATTTTCACCTAGATGGAATCTATTTTATTTGCAGGAGACTATGGTTTAAGCATTATTATTGTTATGATGGTGGTTGTCATTGTCATTTAAAATTCACCTATTTCTAAAAAGTGTTCGAGACAGTTTTCTTGGCTACAATAGAAGCTTACAGTAAGATTGCAATGTAAACAGAAAAGATAGTTGTACACTGTAGCTCGAGGGTTATAGTTCCCATTCTGGGCATTTTCTTCCCAGTCCATAGAAGATACTTGATGAATATTTTGGAATTAAGAATAAGTGAGTTTTGATTCCATATAAATCATCTCTCTGTTGCCTATTAGTGTTATGTGCATTGGTCAGCTTATCTTCCTTTTCTGGGACCTGGCTTTGTTTGGGAGATAGGGTAGTTGGTTAATTCATTTGTTCAGTTAGCTAACTGAACACATGCTAAGTGTCAGAGATTATGTGAAGCACAAAGAATACATCACTGCTACGTGTCTTCATCTCAGCAGCGGCAATATCAGGAGCATAAACTTCTCTAGATACCTGCTGTCACCAGCAGTGGTGCCGAGGACAAATTGGGGACCGACTGTTCACAAGGCAACAACTGCCTAGGCCATAAGATACAAAGATAGATAGGTGATAGATAGATAAGTGCATGTGTATATATATGTATATAATATATAATATATCCCCATAAATACAAAAACAAATAGGACATTCTATTTAAAAATAATAATACAGAACATTATAGTTTATAATTTACTATAGATAACTGACTTACCCATTGCACAGAAATGGTACAGAATATGTCTTTCCACTATTCCCATTTTGACATTGAGAAAACTGAGTTCTGTATCTCAAAACTTAAGACTCGTGATCTGTTAGTCTAGGTTCTCTGGAGAAGCAGAGCAACAGAGATCATGAATGATGGATACATACAACATACAATGTACATACATAGTAACTATAAGGAACTGAGTCACACAGTTATGGAGGCTGAAAAGTTCACAGTCTGTTGTCTGTGAACTGGAGACCCAGGAGAGCCTATGGGGTGGTTCTAGTCCAAGCCCAAAAGCCTAAGAACCAGGAGGGCTGATTCAGTCCCAGTCTCTAATCCAAAAGCAGGAAACTGATGACCCAGCTCAAAGACAGTCGGGAAGAGAGAGAATTCTTTCCTACACAGCCTTTCGTCCTGCTCAGGCTTCAGCGGACTAGAGGACGCCCACTCACACTGGGGAGGGCGGTCTGCTCTCCTCAGCCTGCTGAGTTAGATGTTCGTCTCATCCAGAAACACCCTCGGCGACACACCCAGAGGTAATGTGTAACCAAATATCTGGATACCTCGGGCGACCCAATCAAGCTGACACATAAGATTACCTATCACCTGTGACTTACCCAAGATTGTGCATCCACGAAGAGGGAGAGCTAATCGCACCTTTCTAGAAGGTTTCTCATCGAAATACCAACCACACCCAACTCTACTTAGCTTAGGCAATCCCAGGAGATGGGGTGTGTTTGGATGTGTGTTATCTGTAGTTGGCTCACAAAGAAATGTCCGGGCAGTATCGCGTCTCTCACCAGAGGAGCTGCTTTGGCCAGAGGGCTCTCCTGCCGCCCTTCCAGGCTGCCAGCTCGGCCCCGTCACAGCTGCCCATGACACACCTGTGCTCAGCTCAGCTTCTCACTACGTGGCATCCCCCTTCACTTCTCATCGGTGCTGCCGCAGTCGCCTCACCCTGTTGCCACATCCTGCAAGGAATTCCCACAGGCCTGAGGCTGCTTCAGCCAGGGCCCCACCAAGGACAAAGGCGGAACTTGGATGTGCCTCTGAAGGCTCGGATTCCAGCTCCGGGGGTGAGGGGGCCTGGGAGCTGCTTGGGCCACCAGTGTGTTCCTAGTGCCCTGTGCAGTCTCTAACCCAGAATGGGCAGTTCATCAAAATTCAATAAAAGAAAGGAAGGAAGGGCAAGATGGGGTGGAGAGAGGATGTAGAAAGAGGAGGAAGATGGAGAAAAAGAAAGAGGAAAAAGTGAAAGGAAAGAGAAAATGAGAGAAAGGAGGAAGGGCAGGAGGAAGAAAAATGAGAAAATCAAGAGAGTAGAAAAGAGAAGGAACAGAAAGAGCAAACAGGCAGCAAGAAGGGCCCTGCAACTGGACAACAGGCTTGGATGATGACTGGTCCAGGTAGAGGATCACTGCCCCGGCCCAGGAGAAAAGACGGGCTTCTCCTGGCTCTGCCCGTACCAAGCTATGGGACCTCTCACAAGGCACCCCGCCTTTGTGGACCATGGCGGGAGGCCTCATTTATAACAGGAGGGCATCAGACCGGATCATCTGGCAGGGCCCCTGTCTCCATCCTGGTCTTCTAAGGATCAGCCTAAGCCAGCCAGCCACCAGCACTGACCCTATCCCATTGGCTGTTCATTTCCCTCCATCTTCATCTCGGTAGGTACATCAGTGTCCTAAATGGACTTAGGGAAGAAAACACAGCAACAGTTTCCAGAGCAGCTAAATCGCAGAACATGGAGAAGATTTGAGAAGGACAAACCTTATTCCATTCAGCCTCTTCTTAAAGCCAAGATCCATGCAAGCGCAGACCTCAGGTTCTGCCCTCTCCCGCACCCAGGCAGCGCATAACTCGGAATCTTCAGAGAGGAGAGTGTGAAATGAAATACAGATATTTATAATTGAAATATCTTTCCCCCGGGTATCACTTTCTTTTTTTTTTTTAATGAAAATTCAGTCAACTGAATATTTAGTTCCCTAAGGAAGGCTCCTCCACTGTCGATTACACCGTGCACATGGGGAGAAGCTCTCCCGGAAAATGATGCCTGCTCTTGGCTAATGATCACCTTGCTCTCGGGATCAGTACGAGACAAGGTCTTGGAGGTCGGCCCCCCTTTCAGCTGCGAATTAGGTATTAGGTTCAGAATATAGCCAAAAGCATTTGGTGTCAGCCTGCACACCAAATGGACGCTGGATCCAATTTTATACATGTACAGGTATATCAAATAAATTTAATTTCCCCATTGAAGGTGCTTGCTTTTAATTCTGGGGCCAGCAGTGCAGAACAGTTTTGAAGATTAAATTTCCATTCCGAGAAAGTAGTCGGGGATAGAACTTCTAAAGCAGGAGTAACCAAAGAGCAAAAGGTTTTCACTGCTCACAGAGAAGGTGGGAGGTGGGGGAGGAGAGGAGAGTAGAAAGATCTAGTGAACACTAGACAGACAAGAAGCCTTCAGGTGCGAGATTACTTCTGCCACCTTATTTCAAGGCAGTTAATCGCCTTACTTATAATCAAAGCGGGGCTGGCTTTGATACCCCGATTGCCACAGCAGGGACCCAGCTGTCATTCAGAACACCCGGTGCCCCTCTGTGTTGTACGTGGCTGCCCACCTTCTTAACCATTACTACAAAATGCACCTGAATAAGGTGTAATTTTAAAACCAAACTCAAAGGCTTTAAAGAATAATCCTAGGTCACTTCCTCCATGAAGCCTTTCCTGATTTCTGCCATTCACCCACCACCACCTGACCACCATCCTGCACCTGACTCAGTCAGACCCCATGCATGTATTTGTGACAGCAGCTGTAAGAGGAGATAGTTTTACCTTGGGGTTAAGCTCTATAACCTCAGACAAGTAACTTACCCCCTGTACATCTTGTTTTATGCATTTTAAATGATGACCGTAATAATAAGATTGTGAAGATCAAGTGAGATGTGTGAAATCAGTACTTGGGCACATGGTAATGTTATAGGTAAATATTACGGGGCTGAAGAGGACAGATCCTGTCTTTGACTCTCTAGCTCAGCTTAGGAAGGAAAAAACAGTTTGTTGACTGACTTCTGATCTCTGTGTTTTACCTGCTCAGCATTTCATGCTCTAAGCCTTGGGGTATTTGGGGGGTGGGGTGGTTCAGTCACCAAATTGAATAAGTTTTAAGTTGTTCCCATTGATTGAGTGCTCATTGTATGGCAAATATTGTTTCAGGTACTTGATGTAAAATAGTCTATCTCATCCTTACGGAATCCTCTGATTTTTTTCCCATTCTACATATTAGGAAAGTAAGGCTCAGAGAGTTTAAATAACTTGCCTCATTGGGTATTTGATGAGCCAGGATTCAAACACAGCGCGTGCTAGGGTTGGTATCGCTCAGCAGTAGAGTGCATGCTTAGCATGCAGAAAGGTCCTGGGTCCAATCCTTAGTACCTCCACTGAAAACAAAAACAAAAGCTGTATATCCAAACACAGCACCTGCCAACTCCACGCTGTCTCCGTGTCCCTCAGCCTCCTACATGTACCAGGGATCGGACGGTTCAGGCGTGTGCTGACACGCTCTGGCCTGCTCCGTCCACCCACACAGACCACCCTCCTCGCCATGATCCAGGAAATTCCTCATCAGACACACTGGCTGTCCCTCTGGTCCCAAAGGCCAGAAACAACCTAAGTTAAGAGACAGGGGGAGGGGGCCGTTTCTCAGCTTATCCTCCAGCCTCTCATCAAGCCCCTACCCCAAAACCGGGAGTGTGGAATCACCCTTGTCACCTAGGGGCCACTGCCTGCTCCCAGTCACCCAATTAGTGATGAGACCAGCAGCACGCTGGGCCCCTAACACCTTCCACCTGTGGCTGCATCAGAAGTTCGTGGTATCATTGAAAAATAATCCTATTTAAAGTTTACACTTCATCTCAGATCATTCTAAGGGACTAAGTTGCTGCTTAAAGGAAGAGCAGAGGGAACCTCGTATCTTACGGACAATACACAGAAATCCTGGGATTGTTGCATGTCTTTTGCTAGTGAGAAGCTACCTAGAGTATTGTTAGAATTATCTTTCTAAAATACAAAATCTTTTACGAGGTACTATTGTACAGGATCTCTAACGTGATTTATGAGAACAGAAACTGCAGCTGAAGAAAATTATGTGTGTGTGTATATTCATGCATGTCTAGTCCTCTTTATTTAAGAAAATGAAATAATTGTCAGTTCAAGTAGTATTTTGACAATAGGAGCAATTCCATTCAGCAGATGGTCCTTGAGGATGAACAGAGTCTCGTGAATAAAGAGGTGCTCGTTGCTGTATTTATCTTAAAATGGATTTGTTTCAGTGAGTTGAGGATTTTAAGGAGAAGTATGTATTAAGTTAAATGAGTGTTTTAAGACGAAAGCTTTCTAGGGATTTTTGTCGTTTAGCACCGATCCTATTTTAATTGGCCTCCATTCTTTGCACTTAGGTTTTCAGAGGAGGGTGTCCATACCTTCTGATGTTGAAAGAAAAGGCATCCTACTCACTAACCATTTTATCAGAGAGTGGCCAAAGCAAAGAGTAGGCTAGGACCAAGTTAGCAAATAAACAGGCATGATTGCTGTTAGATCCTGCCCAGGCCCAGGGCAGGCACCAAAAATCAGTCCGAGTGATCTTAACATTCTTCTCAACACCACCTTCCCCGCAGGCACCGCCAATCCATCAGGACTGGCCACCAGTCTGTTCCTGGGCCAACAGTTCTCCGTAGTTGGAGCCAATGTTCATACAAGAGCAGCCAAGAGTGAGAGCAGAATTCCATGTGAAATGGTGGTCACTGTGGAAATCACACCATGTGAGCCCTGTGTTATGAGCAGAAGGAATGGGAATTTTCCGTGTTATATTTAGGGTTGTGAAGCACAGTTCCTACTGGACATAAATTTCATGTCTTCCACTGGTGATGTGTCCCTATCCATCTATCCCCAGAGACACTGTCCCATCCTACCTCTTACCATCTCTGACCTGAACTTCTGCAATAATTTCAGCCAACAGTAAGCTCCTGGCAGACAGGGACCGTGTCTGTTTCCCGTAATTATTATTCATTTTATGTGAGTGCCTAGCACCATTTGGCAGAGTGAGCGAGAATGAATGAATGAATCCCCTCTAACTGAGTTCCTTACCTCCTTTCACTGTATCCTTCATTCTATAGCCATATGTAAGTCTGGACACATCACTCCTCTGCCTAAAACTTTGTCTCCTTTTCACCTACTGAAACCCAAAGTTCTCCCAAGTCACACTGCCAGCCAGCCAGCCAGCCAGCCAGCCAAGCTTCGCACTTCATCATCTAATAATACCAAACTCTTTGAAGTTCCCTGCAGGCATCACATAGTTCATGCCTTTGTGCCTGCTGTCTTGTTCCCTCTACCTGAAACTCCTTCCCCACCTAACTCTAGTTCATCCTGCAAAGCTCAGTTAAATTATCATTTCCTTAGAAATCCTTCCCAGTATCCCAGAGTTGGGGTCAGTGCCTCTCCTCTAAATTCCCATATTATTTTGTTTATATTTGTATTATAGCATCACCAAGAGGTACACAGGCTTCAGGTATAGTTTGATCCAGGGGTTCACGGGGTCCTTGGGCTTTGTTTTTCTCTTTCTCTTGACCCTGTCTTCCTGGATTTACCCTCAGACTAGTCACTCATGGTATCAGAATGATTGCTGCAACTCCTAGTACAAGTTTCCCCATTGATATCCAGACTAGAAGAAAGAACTTCTCCTTCCCTCATGAGGAGAAAAAAGCTCTGAGCGTTCCCTGATTAAGTCATTGAAAGACTGGTGCCCTTCTGTGAACCAATCCTGAGTACAAAGGAGATGGGAATGTGAAAGCAAGAGCCCCAAGTTAGAAGAACCCCAAGGACAGCTGAAGCTCCTCAGACTCCACAGCAGCCCTGCCTTTCACACCCATCCTATCTGGGTCTCAGAGTGACCACAGATGGCAAGCACTTTATTTTCTGCTTCACCAGGAAAAACAAATCCAGGATGAGACTCCATGACTGAAATGTTCAGGTCCTGGTTGGAAGAGGGAAGGGATAAAGGATACTTCGGAGGCCACCAACAGTATCTGCTCTACTTTTCAATTAGACCAAGCTTCTAATGGTCATTCATCCCCTGCCATATTCATCTTTGGGTTCCCAGCATTTAGCCAGTGCCTGCCTGATACACGCAGATAATGAACACTCCTTTGCTTAGCTGAAGAGAACTGAGCCTGTCTGGAACTGAAAGCACATCTGCATCCATGCCCACTTTATCCACGCTGCCTTTATCCATCTGCATATTCCACCTCCACGCTGGCTGCCTCCTACAGCGACTTCTCACCCTTCCACTGTGTGAATTCCCCTGCCTCAAGTGGATTCCCATTTCCTTTATTCTGGGTTATTTTTTCTTAGTCAAAATTCAGCTTCAACTCCACTCACACCCACCCCAATCCCAAAAAGATCTTCCTCTTTGTTTAGAGGCTCTCTAAGGCTTCCTTTACAAGTTGAAGATTCTGTGATAAATGCAGGAACGCATCACCAGAAATGATGGAAACATCAAAAGAGAATGGTTTGTCAGTCAGTCCTTTTTTATTAGATATTCCCCAAAGGCAGCTGCTATATATCTTTTGATTATTCCTTCAAAAGGAAGAGTATAACAGAGTAGAAAGAGACTAGACTTTGCAAACAGGTCTGGGTCAAATCCTGGTCCCATCACTTCTTAACTCTATGATATATTGGGCAAGTGATTTAACCTCTCTGAGCTCAGCTCCCTCCTGTGTTAAATGAGGGATAATAATGCTCCCCTCCCAGGATCACAGTAAGGGTTAAATAAGATGAACTCTGTAACATGGCGGAGACAGTTGATGTCACTCCCCCCTCTCTCCCTTAGATGCTCTTGGGATGACTAATATTTAAAGTTCCAGAATTCCAGCCTACAGGGAGTCCAGGCTATTGAAGAAGCTCACTGCTACTGGAGAAGCTCTTCTGAATGCTGCTCTAGTCTCATGGTGTCTAAGAACAGGAACATTGAGACTCTTTAGCCATCCTTGGTAGTTTGTCCAATTTCCCCCAAAAGGAGGCTGTCTGCCTGCCTGCTTTGGCATGGGCCCTGGATTTGTTTTTCCTGGTGAAGCAGAAAATAAAGTGCTTGCCATCTGTGGTCACTCTGAGACCCAGATAGGATGGGTGTGAAAGGCAGGGCTGCTGTGGAGTCTGAGGAGCTTCAGCTGTCCCTGGGGTTCTTCTAACTTGGGGCTCTTGCTTTCACACATGCTGCCTCCCTGATATACAACTCAGCCTCATCTCCAATTTCCGAAATAAATCTCACTTAAAATGTGTGGCAGGGAGGAGAAGTTGTTTACAGACCTCAAACAACTGCAGATTTATCACTGGACATCCCTGTTTAGAAAGCCCCACACCAGGCTATTATCTGGTTATTTCTTCAGACCTTTATTTCTCTCATTTTATAATCAACTTTTGTAGTTTTGACTACTAGTCTCCTTCTCCCCTGTGGAGCTCACCAAAAATGTTTATCGAGCAAGGATAGCTCCCTCCCTCGGAGGAATACTGATGTCAGCTATTAATAATCATTGCTGATAACACATTCATCTTATATATAAGTGTGAGTGAATTTCTTTTCCATGCAAAAGGTACAGAAAGGGCCACCCCCTGCAAATGTTCTGAAACCCCAGCAAAAGACAATGGCTTTATTTGATACCTGAATGGGAGAAGGGAGGATATTTTATGTGTTCCTTGCCAGTGGTTTTCTAACAGGGGGGAAAAGAGCTGGTAGCTCTTAGAGACAGTGTTTTTTTAACCATGTACTCTTGAGTTTCTTGGGGGAGCCAAGAGAAGAAATCATTGCCCCAGTGTGCTCCTCTCTCTCTTCATACGGAATTCTTTCTCTTGGTAGACATGACTGCCAACTGCTCAGCTCTTTAAAGTTTTACACCTCTGCATTTTCATGAGAGCACAACCAGAAACAAGAACTTCAAGCCATCTTTCAGGGACACAAGCCTTCAAAGCTCCACACGGTGGGCATGTGGACAGGCTGCTAAGCTAGGAAAACATAACACATACCTTTAGGATTTTTGAGTAAAGTTGTTTTCCTTTGTACAAAAGGAATGTAGGTCCATTGTCTAGGAAATCTAGAATATACAGACAAGCAAGAGAAGAAAGTCACACCCCATTCCAGCACCCAGAAATAACCATTGTGAATATTTCATTGTAAATGCTTTTGATCTTTCAGGCATATATGTACACCTGGAGATATATATATATATATTTTTTTTTTTTTACAAAAAACGAATCAGAGTTTTGCTTGCAGGTTTTCTTTCTGGACCTCAGCCACACAGGACAGGGTTAACTGTACAACTTAGTTCGTGACACAGAATTTTTTCAGCTCTTTCAAGGGACTCTTGTGGGGTTTTCTTTTCTCTTGTTTTCAATTTTCTTTTCAATCCCCACTCACTTAAGCAAAAACTGTAGTGTGTTTGACATATTATTTTAATATATACTGTTGTTTTGAGTGTGAATGTTTGCAATTTGTACAAATGATATCTTGTTATAGACCCCATAATTTCTTTTTTTTTCATTTAACACTGTTTTTGAAATGTTTGTGTTGCCGTGAACACACACACACGCGCGCACACACACGCACACAAACTGCATTGGTTGATATCATCTCTTTATATATTTGATCTTTATAAAACCCTTGAAATCTAGGGGAAGTAGGTATTATTTTCCCTTTTTTATGAATGAAGAAACCGACCTGAATCAAAGAGATGTAGTGACCTGCCCGGGCTCACATAGCCCAGATCAACAGTCAAGTCTCTTATGCCCTAGCAGTGTCTCTCTGTGGGGCTTATTAAGAGTCAAGGTTGTTTCCAACCAAGTGCAATCATCTTAAACTTCTCCCCGAGAAAGTCATTCACCTCCTGATGAAAGGTCACATCAAAATGTATATTTTAATAAATCTAGATTGACCTGTCATTTTGGTCTAAGTGAGCCAAAAAAGGTTTCCTTCTCAAAAAAAAAAAAAAAAGGCAGAGACATCAGTGTGGGAAGGGGTCACTCATCTCTTTGAACCCTGTTGTGGGAGATGTTTTCTTAATGAGCCTTGTTCTGAAGGTGGTGACTGCAGACAAATTATGGTCTTCAAGGTGAGTCATCTAAACGTGCCCTCAGGTTAGCAGTGCAGTGAACCATTGGGCCAAGAAGTAGAGAAACTTGGATATGAAGAATGGGAAGTAAGGCAAAAGTTTCTAAACATTCTCACATCAGAAAATATCCCTTTAGAAAATGAGTATGTAGTTCATGTTGACTGCAGGGTAAACCATGAAAAGACCTCTTTGAGAGAAATATTGGACTCTGGCCCCTAAAATCAATGAATGCTTCCCAGGGATGGGACTAATGAGCTGAAGGTCAGGTGATTGTTCGTAGGGGAAGGTGAAGCTCCCAGCTCCCGCTGGCTAAGGGAAAGTTGATTGAATGATGGGGTGATGGAGGACTCATCCTTCAGTGTAGTCTTAATTGCATTACAAAATGCTGTTCATCAGCATTTTGTGGACAAGGAGAGAAAAGCTCAGTTGGCTGCTGGTTGGTTAGGGCTTTTTAATCTTGGCATGTCCTTCAGCACCACGGGCAACGGCAGGCAAAACCTGTGTTCTCTGAGCGTGCCTTCCTCATAAAAAGATTCCTCTTGCATCATCCAATTGACAGAGGCTTATAGTCTACACTTTAAGGAGAATCAGTGTTTCAAATATTTGCCCAAATGAGCTCCAAAAAATCATAGTAGCAATGATAATTGTAACTTCTAAATACTGACTGCTTACTGTGTGCCGAGCACTGGGTTTAACCAGCATCATTTTATTTACTCTCGGGGGAAAAAACTTGGGCAGAAGTACTGTTATTATCTCCATTTTGTGGATGAGGAAATGGCAGCTGCGAGATGTGGAGTCAGTTGCTCAAGGCTTCAAAACTAACTGGCCA